TCGAATCTTTCTTATATCCCTTTCGTCTTTTCCTCTTTTTGTCTTTCTTATTTTTTAATTCTTTTCGTTTCCTTTTATTTTTAAATTCTTTGCGTTTCTTTTTTAGTTCATTCATCTCATTTTGCATCTTTTCGTCTTTTTATTTCTTTGTTCTACAGACCCTAAACCCTAGACCCTAAACCCTAAACCCTAGCTGTGGTGTGCTGCTGCGCAGCGTCGCAATGGACAGCCAGCTGCTGCTGTGGGACCCGCAGCACCTTTCAGCACCCGTGAAGCGGATCGTCTATGAGTGAGGGTTTAGGGTTTGGGGTTTAGGGTTTAGGGTTTAGGGTTTAGGGTTTAGCCTAGTCCCTAGCCGCTGCTCCAGTTGGCTGGTGGCTAGCAGCAGCAGCAGCAGCCAACAGCAGCAGCAGCAGCAGCAAGTCCTGCAAAACACCTCAAATAGAGGGCAGCAGCTGAGGAGGCCTCTCCTTTCCCAAACCCTAAACCCTAAACCCTAAACCCTAGTTTTCAAGTGCCTCTTTTGCCGCATCCACCTTTCGCATGAAGCGCTCTCAAACCCTAAACCGTAGCCGCTGCTTCTGCGGGTGCTTGCGCTTCTTCTGCCGCGGCAGCGCACAAACCCTAAACCCTAAACCCTAATTTAGGGTTTGCGTGCGTGTCCTGCAGCCACCCCCCCACGAGTCTGCGGGTGAGCCGCGACGGCAGCAAAGTTGCTGTGGGGACTTACGACTCTTTTCTTCGGGTGTATCTACTCCCCAGTTTGGAGTGTATCGCCAGCTACGTCGACCTGCAAATGGTCATTCCCCACATGTGAGCTGCTGCTGCTGCTGCTGCTGCTGTGGGTGCTGCTGCTGCTGTGGGTGCTGCTGCTGCTGTGGGCGTTGTGCTGTGGGTGGTGGTGTTTGTGCTGCTGCTGCTGCTGCTGTGGGTGGGTGTGCTGGTTGTGCTGCTGCTGCTGCCTCGGGTGGTGGTAGTGGTGGTGTTACTGCTGCTGCTGCTCTTTTCTGCTGCTGCTCTTGTGCTGCTGCTGTGTCTGCTGCTGCTTGGTTTCTGCTGCTGTTGCTGTGCTTGTGGTGCTGATGCTGTGGTGTTTGTGCTGCCGTTGCATCTGTTGCGGCTTAAGCTGATGGCCTTGCTGCTGCTGTGCCACCTGCTTCTTTGTGCCTTTTGCTGCTGCTGCTGCTGCTGCAGCACCTGGCGCAGCACGCACGACTGTTTGGCCTACAATGTCTTTCAAATGGGCAAAACTGTGGTCTTGAAGCCTCCCACAGGCAGCAAGCAGCAGCAGCAGCAGCAGCTGGACCAGCAGCAGCAAGACTTGCAGCAGCAGAGCCAGCAGCAGGAGCGGCAGCAGCTAATGTATTACTAGCTGCTGCAGCAGAAGTTCAAACTAGCGCAGCAGTAGCTGCAGCAGCAGCAGCAGTAGCTGCAGCAGCACCAATAGCTGCAGCAGCGGCAATGACGTTTTATGCCCAGGTATGTCGGTGCAGCGAGCCCACCGGCAGCAGCAGTATCTGCAGCAGCAACAACTGCTGCTGTTGCTGCTGCTGCTGCTGCCCGCAACAGCAGCAGCTGCTGCTGCTGCTGCAGGCGGCACATGCAG